AAAAAAAGGTACCTGTTGTCTATTTTAAGCATTTGAGGTTTAAATGTCGCTTTATGTATTAATGCTAAAGCGAGTCCATCTCGGTGAACTACATGCTACAAGTGTGTGAAAGCGGTAAATAAATAATGCTTGCGGTTTTGTAATCGTATTTAAAAACCGAGAAAAAGGAGACCAAGAATAGTAATAAAAACAGTTCTTAAACGTAGCCACGTCATAAAACATTTGGGAATAGAAGATAGTAATGTCTGGTTTTTGTAAATTATTTTGTCACAGCAGATTTAATCAGAGTTGTTTGTATTACGAAATCGACCAATGAAAAGCAACTTGTTTGATGATCCTGAGTTTGTTTTATTGAATGTTGTTCATTTGAACAAGATATATATTTCCATAAACTGCACATACATATTTTTATTAAAATTTGTATAGTTTTCATTTATGATCTTTTTATTTTGCATATTCTGAAAATTATTTCTTTTAATGGTATAGAATAATTTTTTCAAAACACATTTTTATCACTTTCATAATCCCATAAATAAGTGTTGTATGGTGGTTGGTAAAAGGTTCCATTGACTCAGTACTTCTATATCCGTTTGATTGTATATACAGCTCAGACAGTTTGAATAGGTGCCACCTGTTTGTGACCATTATTCTGAGTTTTACTAACATCTTTGTCTATACGGATTTCTCAATTTGAAAGCCAAATACCTGACAACGTAACACAACAGAGCCAGTTTCCTCTCCAAACTAAAGATCTAGTTTGTTTGATTCCAGTCATGTTGGCACTTGTATCTTAGGCTCGTAAAGGGGTATTGCAATGCCTACAGTTTTCTCACAACATGTGTGCGGAACGATATGTATCAGAAATTTAATACATTCAATGGCTTGGATGTTTTCGTTACTTTTATTTTTAACATAAAATGCAAAATTCCAGCAGAAAAGTATTCAATTTTGGGTATTTTATTGATAATTACAGCTTATTTAAGCGGTGATATTTTTTTTTATTCAAACGTTTTTGTAAAAGGCATTAACAGTTTACGTTCAATCAAATTAAGAACGATATGTATCAGTAATTATTTAATGAATTTAATGGCTTGGGTGTTTTCTTTACTTTTATTTTTAACATAAAATGCAAAATTCCAGCAGAAAAGTATTCAATTTTGAGTATTTTATTGATAATTACACCTTATTTAAGCTGTGATAGTTTTTTTAATTCAAACGTTTTGGTAAAAGGCATTAACAGTTTACGTTCAATCAAATTAAGTATTAAGTATTGAAGAAACGTGCATTTTATGTACATAGAATAAGATCGAATGATAGACAATCACTAAACAAAGAAAACAACAGCTTTTCGTAGGACGTCTGGGTTTGATTGTCTTTCGGTTTTTGTGGTCCCTAACCAGGATGCAGTGTTATAGATGATGCATTTGCCAAACATTTGTCACAAACATACCAACATCAACCTATTTCTACTTTATTATGTTTAATTGTTTTCATGGGTCTTGGAATTTCAAATGATTACTCTTTACTCATTTAATAAAGTCAATGTCTCTATTAATAAATTTGAAACAAAGACATGATTACTTGCAAGATAAATATTTTATATGGAACAGACCTTTCTGGTCATTGCTTTTTGGTGACATTTACATTTACTGCAATGACATTCTGGTACTGCAATGGCTTGTTATGCAAATCCTTTCCAAAACTTCAGACTTGTGTACACAGGAGGATAGATATGTATAAATGTCTTTGTGTTTTCAATGACCATGAGTACGCAGATGGCAAAGAGTAAAACATACTCCCTTAGGGTGTCCAAAACGGCAAAATTAAAAATGTTGCAGGTTCATCAAACCTTTTTCGTGATGTTATCCTTAAATGAGCCTCGCCATCACAAAACTAACATAATGGGTTTGCGACCAGCATGGATCCAAACCAGCCTGCGCATACGCGCGGTCTGATTAGGATCCATGCTGTTCGCTTACAAACCCTATAACAAATAGAGAAATTGATACCGAACATCATGGATTCTGATCAGACTGCGCGGATGCGCAAGCTGGTCTGGATCCATGCTGGTCGCAAACCCATTATGTTGATTTTGTTATGGTGCGGCTCAAATATAAGTCTTTACCAAAATATCATACTTCACAATCGTTCCGCAAATCATCTGACATTGCAATCATCTAAATGATGATAACACATGAACTTCAAAATGTCATAAAGTTTGGTAAAAACAAATAGGGTCATATTGAAAATTTCAAGGACGCCAGCAATGTACACCAAGAAACAGAAATGTTGATTTGAGGTGAGATCATATCTTATCAACATGCGTCACATGATCGTTGAACTCTGATTTTTGTTTCGCATAGCACAGCAAGATAACATTTATATATTAACATAGATATATTGTTTCGTTGCATGGTGTTTGAAATATAATTTATTTTCTTTAAATAAACACAGTTGTTACTTTACAAAAAGTGCAAAATATTCAAAATTCAATGAAAAACAAATAGTTATGATAAACGTTATAATGACAAAGATAAATGCACGTCAAGACAAAAATTAGATGATTGAAAGTATATCAGCTGTTTCTTCAGAATTATCCCATCCATGCACATGTTTACTTTTGTTGTGATTTATTTTTGGAAAAAAAAGAATATCCTGTCGAGGTATTTATGATCAACTTTGGTGTCTTCCTTTCTGTTTCTCCAATATGCATACGTCATCTGTAGAATAATAAGGATAATGATACAAATTACATTATGTACACGTAATTATGACTCAAATATTTCAGATGCAAATAAAGTGGATATGTAAAATATGAACAGGCTCAATTTAACCTAGCCTGCAACATTTTCGATTTTGCGTTTCTGTTGTTCCTAAGTTATCATTTTTGTACCAAAGATTAAAAAGGGAAAACGAGCAAGGTGTAACGTTGAAAATTTATTCAAAACACCCGTCAAGTTATATTTTATCATTTTCATTCTAAATCAGCTTTAATTAATTCCCTGTAAAAAAGAAGTAAAGTACATTTGAAACATTTAATTAACATAAATAATATATTAAACAATAAAATTTTGATGTAATCGACAGAAGTATTAAAGCCTATTCATAAAAGATTGACGGTGTTTTATCAAAATCTATTACATATGAATTCATAATGAAAGTCAAATACCATAGCAATGTTTTAGATAAATAAATATTTACCCATTTTGTTTTCTTTGACATGTTTCCTAAAATTTTATCCGAACAAAGTAAAATTTTAATTTGCTTGAAAGTATTTATTTTACAAGAATAAGAATATTATGACACATGAATTTTGTTGCGAAGGTGTATAGTTTCAAAAAGAATATTACTTTTATTATCTTCGGTCCTGCGGAACACTCCTCGGACACGAATCGTTATCTCCCGAAAGCTTTGTTATGAGCAAATAGATTAAATAACTCGGAACAGTGATTGGAAAAAACAGAACAAATAATATTCCTAAACCAATTCTTGTGGCATTTACATCACCCATTTTGTATTAAATTATATTCTTATTATGATTATATGAATGCCGTTATTGCTTCCGATTAAAAAGACAGAATTGTTCTTTTGATTGACATAATATATATATCCACCCCCATGCAACACCCACGATTTTGATTGGCCAGCTAATTTTAGACCTGTAGATACCATCAGCTATCTTGATAAGATCATTTTCACTCGGAAAAAAATCTAAACGACGAATGCATTTGATAGTCATGTAGTTTCATGTTTTAGGACAATACTAAGTTGTTTTTCTTGAAAAACGTTACTCTCTCCTATTGTCGACTTCCTTATTGCAGTTTAATATTGTCTTCCTTTCGAGACGAGATACACGTCTTGTAGTCTTTAAATCATTAAAATTTGCTAACTCGCTGTGGTGAAATGTTTTTATAAATGTCGATATAAATAAACCAAGGGGTTGCTAATTTCATTGCCATTGATAAATAGAGTCAACAAGAAAATGGATGCAATTTGTTATTATATATCTTTAATGTATTTATTTCTACCGAGGGAGAGATATCCCGCTGTCGGAAAGTTCAAATCTTAGTACGTAGATTTGTCTATATTACAATGTATGACGTGCCTAGTCATGACATGGTAATCTGTTTGTTAACGAACTGATTTTGATAATTCATATAATCACATTTATTCATAAACAACCTATAACATTTATTTATTTACTTGTAGTTACGCGTTTTAATAATATAATTGTAGTTTATCTTTTACTGTGAAATAAAAGGGAAACCCTATGATCGATCAACGCTGAAAAGCAAAATATATCAAGTATACTTTATTTTTTTTATATCTAGAAATCCTTTCAAAGAATAACTTTACTTACGTTATTATCTTTGTCGATATTTCATTCTTAACGTCGAGCAACAGGTTGATTTGTTGGACAATAACAAACAACTACGAACTGTTTCCCACGTTTGTTAAGGCAACAGTGTGGTGAAGTATGCCATTGCCCGTCCCTGATGGTCGATGGTAATAAAAGACTCCAAAACCACCACTTACAGTGACAAATAATAATAAGATAACCTTTATCTCTCTCTCCCGTACATCTATGTGAGTGTTCCTGATTATGAAACAGTCGTTTGTTTTGAGATACATTTACGTCACCACTCATGTTAAAGGTAATTTGCTAAATGATTTGAAATGGAATAAAATAGTCTGCTTTTTTTCTAAACAAGTTTGTGCAAATACTATTGAAATCTGACCAGTAAGAATTTAAATGTCAAAACAGGAGGAGCATGCAAAATATATCCACTCCTACTTGGAATTAAAGCTATGCTATTTGTTTCGTATAATAGTATAGTTATCGTGTTTTGATTTTTCTTGCCGTCTTATATTTTTATACTTCACGCGTTGCGGTTATAGATTTCATAAATATGAAGTAGCAAGTTATGATCATTATCATTCTTAAATGTTTGTAAAGTAAATTGTTATTTTGTTTCCCTCGATCTGGGCCCCTACTTTTCTTTCTTAAAAAACGGGCCCGTAGATTGAAAAAAAAAAATTTAGTTAGGGGGTCCGTATCATTTTACGGCCCTTTTTTTAGTTAAATTTTGACAAAAAACAACTTTTTAAGAAAAAAGAATTAGTAAAAAAACAGATGTATCACATAAACTAATTGTCCTTAATTTTGACTTGCCGTTCATAAAAACTTTAATTTGAGGAAGAAAATTGATAAAAAAATATTTTTGACTTTTAGTTTTGCATTTCTAAAAATAAATCAATTCAAGAAAGACGCAAATAACATATATGATAAACGTTCCACTTGTAGACTTAGGATGGAGTATTTCTTGTTTGTATTTTTGAAAGCAAACAACTGTATTTTTAGAATAATTTTTATTTTCAAATACACCTTTATCAGGTAGAATACTGGTTCGAATGTCTCTTGACATCTTAAACGTACTATCACAGCTGGGAAACGTTTTGGTTCTTATTATTTGCATTTTGTCATGTTCTGTTGACAATGAATTGGTTTCTCGCAATGTGTTGCATTTTTATTCCTCTTCTTTATAGTTGCCATCTTAGAATACAGCAAAATGATTTTGTTACGTGCTCAAGTGCTTATGCTTCATTTAAAGGTGGACTTTGTTTTTCTCAAGTATCCAATATTAATTCTTTTTGCGTTATACATACAATTTTACGTATTGTCCTGTTTACTTTTATTATCTTATAAACAACAACAACAATAACAACACATAATGAAAACTTTCAACTCCTTATACGAATATAAATGTTAAATAAAACATATTTTTACTTTCTATTATCATACTAAAACAAACAATTTTACATGGACAAGTAATATTATTTCAATGTGTTGCATATGTAATTTAGCAAATAAGATTCCTGGACATCAGGTAACCGAAATGATACGAACGGAGGTAAGCGCGAGGTCAGTTTAATTGCCAAAGTCGCTAAATGACCCTAACAGTGTTGTTGCAACGCAAAACGAAACAAAAAAGTTAAAATCTACTATATCTACAATTTGTTTCATTCTCTCGGCAATGAATATATGACTTGAAAAACAAACAAGGCACATTCTTCTTTATGATTCTTTATTAACACATTTTTATTATTTTTATTTGATATTGATACACACATATTTATATTTACAAATCTATACTACACTGTTGCTGTATCAACAGGGAATTTTTTTAATAACCATATTATAAGTAAAACATGATCAGATGTAGGCTTATCAAATGATATTTTTTTACAACTCAATAAAGTAAAAATATCTGAAAGAAAGAATGGAAAATATGGGAAAGAAATATTCCCGCTTTAATTATATGTTTTTTGTAAGCTGTCAGAAAGTACATTTTGATTAGAGAAACAAGAAATAATAAAAAAAACTACTTACAATCACAAAACAATGAGATGTTTCAGTTTTCTTTAACAGTCTAAAAACAAAATCAAAAATAAACTTTTGTTCCATTTTTCTTTATTACTGTCCATGATTTGTTTCTATAATACAATGCTGAACTTATCTTTTGCGCATAATTCATTTTTCAGTCACAAAGTTTTCTTTCCTTTTTCCAAACATACCTTTGCTAAACAGATATCCACATTGATTTTTTGTTTTGATTAAATTATTAAATGTGTATTTTCAAAATGGGGCAATTCACGTTTCTGTTCCTATTTAAATGATTTCCTGTATTGCAATCGTATCTTCGGAAATTTATTGACACCATTTTAATCAAAAAACATTTCTGCGAAAAGTATGAATAAGCTCTATGAGTGATTAATGCCTTCAATAGCATTTTGTTTTGTGTCTCTACTTTTTTACGATAAAAACGCCACCGAAAAATATACATTGACTGATGAAATCTTAAAAACAATGTTCTTGTGTACGAAAAATGAACATTTCATCGCTTTGAATGAAACTTTAAGCACATTGTCAAAAGATCGATACACGTCTTAACGCCTATCTTGTGGCACCATTCTTGGGTAATTATTCACACTTTTCCCACCTGTTATCAAATCTTTAATATAACTAAATAACCAAGGCACCAGAGTATAAGGATATCTTACACCCAACACAAGTCCGTTTATAATTGATGATAACATTTCATTTATGTCTGCCATTTTGAATTTTTTGGAGAAACTCAAAAGAACAAATTCATATGTCGTTCAGTCTTTTAAATTGGAATATATTTTCAGAGTGAACTGTTTGCCTTTTCGTTTATACCTATTTATAGCATTATCGACATGGGTTAAATCCTAAAACCATTTTAACTAAAACTATGAATACAATTTTACTACAGTAACTGATATTTGGAACTATTACGTTCATAAAAGAACAGGTACCCGTTTCATATCTATGTTAAGCAGATATAGGAAACCACTTTACTTACTTGTTTTACACCAACCTTTCCTTCACTTGTACGTGGTTTATGTGTATGAGAAATAAGATATCAATGGTACTATAGTGTTAAATACAAAATGATTAACGATCTATTTAACAAATCCACGGCCCTGTGGATGATCTCATGGAAACTAAGCTTTGTCCCAGAAAGCTTCTTTCCGATAAATTTAACTAAACAATACAGGCCATTAATTGGAAAAAAATATCGCAATTACAAATCGGAGAGCGACGTCTTTGACATTATATCACTCCTGTTCTTTTAAATGTAAATTTCTTCTACTGAATGATTCTGTGCTTTATAAAAACAAATAAGACCCATTAGTTTTCTTTAAATAAGTATTCATTGACGAAGACACTCGCATATGCCCCATATTAATCGGTCAGGACATTTTCAAAGTGACAAAACAATCTAGCCGAGAGGCAATCTTGATAATACAATATTTAACTTTATGAATAGTAACAACTAACACAAATTATATGCAATCATGCAATAAAGCAGTTGCCATTTTTCAAGGGGGGGGGGGTCCTTTTTTCTTTTTTATTTCCCTCTAGATCAAATTTCTGTCTCATCTTGTCTTTCTCGAATGACTCAACATTTAGACAATGTACCTTTCGGAAAGGATTGGCATACGCATGATCATATTTTCCGGTACTAATGATATTTTGAAATGCGATATGTTGTTCTAGTTATTTGTGCATATATTTTAAAATATACATGTATATTATGGAAAAATGTAATTAGAGAAACAACCCTTTAAACAACATTGTTTTTGACTCTAACAAATGTTTCACACATATATAACGTCTATTGTAACTTATCTAAGATGAACAGCAGTACAACATTTTGAAGACAGATTCCATTCAAACAAAATATTTCTTGATGACTGATCAGCATTGCTTTAACGTATCTCAACATACTAGTAGATGTAATACCTGAAAATCAGTCATTATTTTAAAACCAATTGCTTGAAAAATAGCAATGCAATTGTAATCATTGTTGTTTTTTGAAATTGATTTAAAAGCAAGTATAAATAATATTTAAAATATGTAAAACAAGATCAACAAAAAAGGGCGGCATTCAATGAACGCATATAAATCACGATCTTATGTAATACAGCAAAAACACGTCAAGTGTCTGTACTTTGAGTGTATTTGAATAAATCTTTCAATTTTCTGCTAGTAGTTTTTAAAGTAACTGTTTGAATTTTCAATGGAATAAACCCTTTTTATTTTAGACATCTACTGAGGACCGAGGTCATAATGTATAAAAACATAGAATTTGAAATTCTTACAGAGTTCTAATGAATTACATAGAATATATCTGCAAAGGACAGTTTAGAACTACTATTATAATTTCTTACCAAACTAAGACTGAAAATCGTAGAATAGTTTTACTTTATGACACTTTGCCCAATAAAATTAAGTATTTTTTAAAACGGATACAGGGAAAGGTCTGGCAATTTGCGCAATTGTTTTGGCCAAACATACAGCAAATAATGTCGAAAAACGTAGATGAGTCCCGTAAGAGCGGCTTAAAATTATTGCTTAATCACACTTAAAATAGCAGCATAATTGTTAGTCAGGAAGATGTCATTGTATGCACATGCAATAGTTATCTGTGTTTAATAACAGAGACATTCTATGGTACAGAACCTTAAAAAATCGACCATAAGATTGAATCTTTCAAACTTTTATTTTATTTGTAAAAGAAAACAAACAGCCTTTGTTTATATTAAAATCACACAGATATTATTAGAGGTTACCAAAATTGTGGATGTAAGAAGTCATTATACTTCTTGTCATTTGAAAATCCTTATCACAACACAAAATATTATTGTTCTCACCATATTTTCATGATCAATCTGACATTTTTATTCAGAACATTAGCCTTGAGAAACCCGATAATTTGTTTTTTGTTTAACTTTTTTCTAATCAGACGGCAGCTAGATGACACCTGTAATGAAACCGACATTTTCTTAATTTACAAATTATGATAAACATTTTCCAAACTTTCATTTAAATCATGTAACAGTAGGAGGAATGGATGATCAGTAGTGCGTGTCATATTTGAACAAAAATTCTTCTACTTTATATCCATACATACTTTTCAACATGTTGTCTGGTTAAACGTTGTCTGGTTAAACAGAAAGTACAGATAAAGAAACAACAAATTTATTGGACAAATATATTTATTCGTAAAATTGTTTATATTTATTTGAATAATAATAAATTTACTTTATTCAGTGATTTTACTATAGTAAATTCATATAACTCCTAAATAAGTCACTTGACCATGCGTTTCGAAATCACATGTCATCATGGAAAACGCGAAAAATATTGTAACAGTAAAAGTTTGTTTGCAAGTTCTTAATGAAACATCGGAGTGAAAATTACACAAACGTAATTAACTTTGATGTCTATTTTTTCTTGTATAACAGAGAAAAAATTTACCTTTTTATACATGAAATGGATTTACATTTTTCAAAAAGAAACCACGCATTTACAATAAAGACTCACATAACTCAATATTCTTGTAAAAATATAATCAAATTTACATCAAATGTAAAAACATGCAACAAAAACTACAGTAAAAAGTGCACTCAGGAAATGAAGATATTGTGTTAACACTTTGCAATTAAAATCCGGCATGTTTCTTGCCAAAATGATTAAATGATGTCCGTAGTTTAAAGGAAAAAAAATGCGACAGCCAATCAAAAAAAAGTTCAAAATAAACATACAACACTGAATTAAATATATTGAAAATATTATAATAATATAACAGTCTCAGTTCTTAGGTGGCTCTCTTAAGCACGTTTTCTTTAAGCTGCTTTGTTCGATTAGTTGGTTGATCCATTGCCGCTTCATCCGGTGGAAATTTTATTAGTTGTGTAGTGGTAAAATTGTATTTGAAATGATGTCAGTCTCCGTTCTCTGTTATTGTGTTCATTTTCATAATTCTAAAATGAAAAATATCACATAAGATTTCACGTGTATTTAATACATTAAGTTCAATTTGTCGTTATCTAAATAATTTGACCGACCGGCTTCCCTTTTCATAATAAATGAATGTTAAGAAAACAAACCTGTGCATTTGTGCTGTAGTATTCATTACATTTCTATGTAACAAAATAAATGTATTTCAAGAAATGCCTAATTGGACACCAAAATTATACTGACCTTATAAGGTGCTATCGTTGAGCAACAGGATATATCTTATTTGGACAAACACAGTATCTGTCATGTTCGATTATTCCCTCTTCAGACTGCCAATATAGTTGTATCACTGGTATTCTTTTCGTTGTATAACAACAAGATTCAGAAACATGTACTTCTACACCATTACCAACCTCATTAAAGTATATATTTGATCGCTTTAACATCTTTTGTTTGTCTTTACGCTGACCACAATAACACACTCTTATTAAAATTTGAACTCGGAAATTTGTTCCATCAATAACCCAGTCTCGTAATCGTTTATATCCGCAACCCTTTCCTTCAATATGTTGTTCTGAGTTGTTCCCATTGGACCTCCGTACTACTTCACTGTTAGTTTCGTTCAAATCACCCATTACCCTATCTATTTATGGTTATGCTACACGAGACAAAGCATAAACTCACTGTGAGATTTAGACTTTGTGCTTTTATATAGGCACAGAACATGGAAATTTAAATCTAAATTTAGAATATGTGGTAACTATAATTTTTTAGAAATGTCTTAAAATAAAATGTCTTAAAATAAAACTGTATTCCGCAAAAAATTATATTGATTTGGCACAGTTGGCGGGTTATTATACTCAGCCGCCTTCCAATACATCTTAAACATTTTATAATCATTAAGTGTCAGAAGTTTTAGCCTGGTATTACCTGAATGTTCTAATTGCTTTTTCGACAACACAGTTTTATTGTATTCGGTTAATAGACTTATATTCATCTATAAACTACCTCCCAATATTGCATTTAATAATATGATTCAATAAAAATTCTTACGAATATGATATTCGTCAACATCAAAATGCAGGTTATTTTTTTATATGACATGATGGCATAAACCAAAGTCATTGCGTGGTTTTATTTAACTTAAGATAGAGTTGTGACTCTATTCGATTGAAATAAATATTGAATTTTAATAAAATCAACAAGAAATTGATAATATACGTAAAATTAAGTGAAATTAATATTGTTTTATTTTTTTTTAATTTTTCATTCGGTGTTTTTTATTTTCACGTGAATGTATATTTTGCTTCGTAATATTTTCTATGATGAATATTTTAAACCACTTTTTACTTTCGAGCATTGACACTGCTTTTTATATTATTTAAAACGAAAGGTTAATAAATACGACGACCTTTACTTATATTTATGCAAGATATTTCATATTTAGCAAGCAGTCTTAAAATCGGCATGTAAAAATAGAAACATAGAAGCTTATTCAGCAAGTATTAAAAAATGTGTTGCTTGTAAAATTTCATGGCTAGTTTTATCAAGTTTGTTTGTAAATCAAGCAAAACAAAACATATAAAACATTTAATGATAAATAGTTTTGAAACATTGATTATTTGCCATAAGGAGACCGGCTGATCGGAATAAAGCAGCTGTTGACAAACGTCCAGAAATAAATATTTATGGAATTATTGGTTTACCATTGTTTAAAATGTAGACCTTTATAATACCAGAATAATGCAGTACATAATTTATAAATTACAAAATTGTTTCCAAATCATGAAAACATTTTTCTTTGTTTATTAAAATGATTCTAAAAACATGTTTTTTGGTATTTGATGGTATTTGATTAAGAAAAGTAGACTGCATTAGTTGTGTCCGTTATGTCATTTAATATGACATGTATTTAGACTATAGAGAATATATTCGATTATTTCTTAATGAAATATGAGAGAACAAAATTATATATATATGAAAACACTTAACAAAGAATCATGAAGAAAAATGAAGAAGTTAATAATGTTTAAAATTTAATGTTTCGATCAATCAATTAAAACGTTTTATAGAAAGATGATACATTTCATAAATATTTTCGAAGCACTTGTAGTTTGTTTTAAAAATATATTTCATTTATTCTCACCATTATACACAAATAAGTTTACTCATCAGCAAAGTCCTCTTTGAATAATTTTGAAGAAAGTCACAATTTAAAATACCTGTCATTTAATAGTACATTTACAAACACATTCAGCAGATTTCTTTTCCAAATTGTAATTTAGTTAAAAAACTATGACCTTTAGGTTACAGCATACTGAAAACATCAAGTAATTGTTGTTTTGGTCTAAGTTTTTCTATCATGAAGTCAATTGATTGCTGGAACTACAAACACTGCATATTGATGAACGTAAAATTCGTTTCGCTCTGAAATGATGAACGCTTCTATAGAACACATCTTTACATTTGACTTAATCTTTTAGTTATCTTTTATTAACAGCATTTGGTTTTGGACATTTACATACAACTTTTATTTTCCCACCATTGTTAACAAGTCTACATTTTGTTGAAACATGTAATTTCTGTCCGTAAATATGTGAAGGAAACAACCAGTGAATCCAAAGAAATCCACCACAATAACATATCAAAACGAGCTTTCTGTTTTCAAGTTTTCCGTAACACCACGATTCCCAATGTTCGTGATTAGTTTTAAATATTTTCTTATCCGCAGCAAGATTGATATCAGACATAATTTATCTTGGTTGTTATTAACGTGCTTTCAGTCCTTTAATGCCTACATTAGAGTAAATATTCTAAGGACGGAATAAAAAACTTAAAGGACTTTACCGCAAATGTTTTAACGAATGGCAAGCCGTTAACTGTTACATCCCTGTCCAATCATTGCTTCTTTTTCAAATTCTGGGTGGAGTCATTTTAGACGCCTTGACATTCTACTCCACTACCTATAAACGCTTTTTCTGCTTGAGATTTTTTAAATACTTCTTGAAATTGATATAAAGCCTCGTTTTTAAAGTACAAGTAAACATCTTTTATGTGCAGGAATAAATGATATGATATGTTTATAAATCACATCCTATGGGTACATAAATAACGGCGGTTTTCATTGCTACGAAAGGACCAAATTAACTTGACCAGAAATAGGGAATGAAGCTTTCTAAACATCTTTTGTGCATGTTCTTATCTTAATTGGACATGTACAGTAAGGATATCTTAGATTCTTACCCGAAAGGCATTTTCTATCCAAAGATGAGCATGGTATATCTTTAACACACTAATAATACCCTATGATATTGGGCTAATACAAATCATAAAGAAACTCAACATATTTAAATCATTTTGTTTTATTTCGTATTATATAGAAAAAATAAAACACTTGCATAATAAACAATGCAAAACTTTAATGTAAAAATGTTTAACATTTTGACAAACGTCCTTTTTTAATCACTTTTTTATGTTTGTATTTGTCTTGACATCAACAAGTTATAAACGATCTGTATCCAAATTTGTTCACTTAAATGATTTATGTCTGTATAATGTTTTCTGTCTCCAAAACGGTTATCTGTTTTTTCCGTCTGAAAAATGAAAACAAATCCCGTTAATTTCAAACTTATATCACACTGTATAAAACGATCTTGCTATAGTATTTACAAAATAAACATATATAATTAAAATAAAATAGAAAAAGTTACAAGAAAACAAAATTTAAAGCACATATGCAAAGTCAATAACAGAAATGTTATAGATTACGTCTCCTCGAAAAATTAAGTTAGAAAAAAAAATTGTTTATCGTACATTCTCCTGTCGATTAAAGTCCAATATGTTTAGGACAATAACATATTTTGTTCAATTTCATTCTTCCATCAGGTAAATGTGCACGTTCATATCGACACCTGTTGTCGAAATGTATTTCAACACCATCATCAAAGTCTTCAATGTTAATGAGTATATTCCTGAGAATGTACTTTTTATCGTTTTGTTGTCCACAAGAACAGACTCGGACTAGCATTATCATTGTATGATTTGTCCCAATAATCTGAATGTTTCCAATTTTTTCATAATGACACTCTTCTCTATAGTGAATTTCATGAGCAGCTTGTTTAGCAATTCTAAACTTTGAGCTCCATTCAGAAACAACATTTGTGTCTGCCTGCTGCGACATATCTTTTTTTCTTAAAAATTGTTTTCTTGTTTAAAATATAATATTTTGCCCAAGTCAAAATGTCTCTTCTGGTATGATGCGATACTGTCTTTCGTAAAGCATATGTGTTTGGCCCCTTTTATTTAAGCATTATTCGGAAAATTATTGTATCTAAATATAGAGAGGTTCATCATACCTTGTCTAGGTAACTAATGGAAAGCCAAAATATTACGTATTGCTATTAATAGAGTGGTCTTGCCGAGAATTGAATTCAAAGTTCATGGGTTTCCAACACTGGCTTTAAGTCAGGGCTTAAGAATTTCATACGTAAAAACAAATTACAAAACAGTTCATTCTTTAGACACATATACAATGAGTTAAAAATAAAGATTAGTAATATGCTTACCTGCTCGCCTTCGATTGACACAAATCCTTGTATATTTCAATGCGTTTGGCACAGACAATTTTCCGTAAGAACAAATTTGTTGCCAGGATGTTCTGTTCGCCTATAATCACAATTTTCATTAAAATGCACACTATGGCCGTCACTTTCAGTAACGGATTGATCAGAACTATCAAATGACTTGTAAATTCCACATTCACATCGACGGCAAAGACGAAAACATGTTTTGCCATTTAGTGTGACTGTTATTTTTTCATAACAACAATTTTCGTTTGTATGCCTTTCTGCTTCGGCCATGATTCAAACTGTTAAGCAGTTTATGAAGTGAAGAGTTTAAACACGTGAATCGCTTACATACATCTTGATTTTAATCTCGAGGTTCATGTAAAGAAATATTGTTAAACCATGAAACGTAAATCAACAAGAAATACTTGATATCATAATTGCGATTTTTAAACATTATCAATCGTTAAATATATTTGATTTGGAAAGAAAATATTTTTTTCTTTTAATAAAACAATGTCTTTTAGTTTGGAAAACATTCAAATACATGTTTAAATACATATATATATATACTAATGATTATCTGTTTCAGGATATTGTGTCACCGTCACGAGACGATCCCGTGATAGAGCAAACTAGGCTTCTTGGCAAGCGTCCATAAACAAGTGTAGATAACAGTATTGATTAATCGCTAACTTAAAGGTAAACACTGGAAATACAATATTTTATTACCTATCACAGATTAAAATTTCTGAAATAATAAATGTAAGCAATAAAATATATGTCCTCTTTGAGAATTGTCCTTCTAGATTGTGGTGTTGTAATAAAATGATTTCATTTAACAGCATACAATTATTATAATTATTATTATTACTTTTAATTTTATTGGACCATCTTGCACATTTTGTTTGGTAAAATACATTGTCTCAATTGTTTTGTGTATTTAATCATGAGTGAACTTGCGGTCTCATTTACTACTTAAGATAACAAAGAAAATTATATATGTAAAATATAACTTTAACACAATTACAGTGAGTCAAATTAGTCAAATTGTGCATTATTTTAATTCTTCTTTCCCCCACCCCTTATGTTCTGGGGTTTTGGATTAGAACAAGAACATACAAGGATAAATACATTTCTCTGACGACGCAAATGGCAGGTTGTTGACACATGTGTCATATGGCCTTTGATATTTATTTCATTTTCTTCACAGAAGCATTTAATTCCTAACTTATTCCCATCTCTATATCTGATGCAGCTTGGTGAATGCTTTGTACTTTTAAATCTTTTTCTTTCTTCATTTATGTCAGTCATTTTTATGGCCTGAAAGAATATATTTTACATGCAGCATTACTGATTCAGAAATGAATGTCTAAAGTAATTCAAAATACAATTAGTTTCATAAATAAAACTAAAGCTGCCATTGGTTCAGTGCAAAACATATCGACGATATATTGATATAGGACAAGTATCGATGTTACACCGATATATCGATTGTTACTTTTAACTCTATTTCATACTTAATTGATTCCAGTGAAATAGAGATTTTTTGCCTAGTTTATTAATGCCTGTTGCATAAACCTCTATCATTTATTGTCAACACACTGTTATAAAATATATCCATTTACGTAACGTGAACATATTTCAAAACATGTTTGGGTGAATTTTCATAATTTCTAGACATAACATTTTCTTTCAAATTTATATCAATAAATGATCTACCGACAACATGATCGATCGATATTATTTCTGTTAGTTATGGCTCTAACAAATCATGTTACAAAAATATTCAGTTCAAGTTTTTTAGTTTCATTAAAATAAACGACACCAATGATATATTAAATGAATGAAAATCTATGAATGAAAAGTATTCGACACATAGTTTTGTTTATTTATGTATTAAAATTATAGAATTCAGAATTGAAATGCATACATCTGATATGAAGACATGAGTGATGTAAAAAGAAAATCAAAATAATTCAATGTTTTACTTTTTTGATATTAAAACTTACTTTTGTATTCCGATATTGGGCTGTTCCGAATAAGGACTGTTCACTGATTATATAGTATGCTATCAGTATTATCGTAGATAACAATTACCCCCCCCCCCCTTTATTTGTCGTTTTTTCGTCTTGCCAATTAGGTGTTTGTTAAATTGAAGTTTTTTATTTAATGTATAAAGAATTACTATATATAGTAATATTGCAATGATATTAACAAGCCATCAGAATGTTTGAACACTACACAAAAAAGCAGCAAGAATGGAAGTTGTTTTATAAATAACAACAACAACAACGGAATGTCTATACCTTTTTCATGAAATATGTGCTAATATGAATACAGACTGAAACATAGTGCATAAATGATTCGTTATACATTGTTTGTCAGATGATATCATATACCATATCTTGAAACATATCATCATGTTTCATTTAGCAGAGTGGAAAAGAATTGTTATTTGAATGGCAAAAAGTACGACATTCATACACATAACAAACATTGGGGGGATTTGAAATTAAATTAATAAAAATGTCAAGTGTACTCAGTTACAGCGTTGTAATCAAAACCACAAATCAAATATCACATATATTCCCTAGTTCAATGATGTGGTTTAATAACATAAATGTAGCATACATATCTTGTTTCTGTTTATTGTGTAAGTAACATACTTCCGATGTCAAAATCTTCGCGCCTGGGCATGTTGCCTCGGACAAAAGCATACTTTCACAAGTTTATATTTTTTCTTGTTGACATACTTGTGATAGAAATAACACCCGTTGTTAACATGAAGCTCAACACCGCCACCAAAACTGTCAAAATCTAGATAGTGTAGATTCTCAATAATGTCTGTTCTATCTTCGTGTTTGAAACAGTTACATGCGCGAATCATAACATGTGCTTCTATTCCTGCCCGTTGTAACCATATCCCCCGCCTTCTTAAATACCGACATGTTTCCGATGTGTAATAATGAAATTCATGTGTAATCGTTTGAGCTAACCTTAGTTTACTTCGTACATATCTGTTTAAATCCGCCATTCTTATTTTCTTTGTTAATTCTTTGCTTCCAATCAGTGAAAGAGTCTAAATATACTAACTGTGGTTATACTTTAGCTTAAAATATATTTCATTTGCAAGTCAATATAATGCGCATGTATGTTATAACCGTGAATATCACGTGGTATTTTCTAATATATCAACTTAAGATCTTTAAAGAAAAATATATGACAATTTTCTTATCAGTATAATGTCGTGGGTGTGCTTCGTTTATACATTTTTCAGATACACCATTCTTTACTTCTAGGAAGTACATGAATATAGTGTTTAAAAAACAGCTAGGAATACTTTACGTCATCAAACTTCAGAATTAACGCAGACATTTTTATTTACAATCATTCTTCAATTGTGATAGAATAAAAACTTACCAATATATCATATTTCAAGAAAACTTTTACCAATTTTCAATTTGCCTTTCATTAATTCCAAAATAGCAAAGCTTGAATAATTTAAATACGGTACAAAGTTGAAAGGATTTGAAATATTCCTTGTAAATGATGATAATTAAAATTAAATTTTTATACAGAAGGGATTTATTTTATATTTCGTGTGGTTTTGTTTTACAAACTATAGGACAATGCCCCATGTCATGTTATCTGTTAAACAAATAGTAGTTATTTTAAATATCGAATATAACTGATGTATTTATCAAATCCAATGTTCTGGCAAATTTATTGACCGATGACCTAAGTATTTCAATGGTTTGATAAAATAAATACAAGTGATAAGTAAATTTCTGTAAATGTTGAAACATTAATAGTGCTTAGATGCCAATTAATATGACACTTTTGTGAATTTAGTAAATTATAATATGGTATTTATGAAAATTTAAAATATTGTACTATATTTTTCCTGTATCGATATCTGATCAAAGATTTATCATTTTATACTGTTTGTAACATGTTAACGTTTTCAGTTAAGGAATAAATAGTACACTATAACGGGAAGACATACCGGTATTCTGTGGATCTTCATTAATAAATTGATCTCATTTCAAAAATCTTTTATTGATACCAACAGGGGTAATAATCAGACATTATCAATAGCTATCTTAATTAAATCTGATATTTCGTTAAAACTGCGTGGCACAAAAAACATGTTTGAAGGTCAAGTTGTGATGTATATGTCTGTATAACGCTTTAATGTCTTTGTACAACGAAATTACGCAACTAAACAACAACGTAGATAAATCTGCTTTTATAATATTAAAAAAGCCTGCACAGACATTTTACCGATTGCAACGTGTTTATGTCTTTTATTGAAGGTAACGCAATGTTACAAAAAATATTTATCATATTTCTGTAAATTATTTACCTTTCTTTTTTACAATTCATACTTGTCAAATTTTTTTTTTAACAGCATCAGTAAAATATGTTTAAAACAGGACAATAAACATTTTCAACTCATCAACATTTTTTATTCATAATCATCTTTAAACCACAATATATTTTATGATATTAAAATACTATAAGACAATGAAATGTTGTAAGACAATGAAAAATTATAAGACAATTGTTACAAATAACATTTTTTTTGTGATATATGTAGATAACAATTGCTACTGCTAAGAAGTAATACAATTTTTTATCTTCTATCTTTATTCATCTGCTTTCTTGTCCAGGTAGTAGAACTGTCCTTGTTTTGTAGCAACAAATCAATTCCAGCTTGGCGGAACCCCTGAAATATAAAACAATTTGAATTGATCATCTCATGAGAAATTGTTTTAGCTTTTTAACATAGATAAACATATAAGTAATGATATTTCATTGATCATCAGAACAGTACCAAACCGCGTTGTCATTAAGTGAGGAAACAAACAACAAATCAACAATCAAAATGATAATAAAAAACAAAGAAACAAACAATCAAAAATCAAACAAATTATTATACGTGTTTCTATTTTATTTATGAATTTGCATAAATTAGAATGGAAACCGTAGGGAAATGTTTAATCAAATTTGCATAATGACAATACGTTTGATATTACATTTGTCATTACACGAAACAGTGAAATGTTTATTGAGTTAGTGAAACGTTTAGTTTATATGCAAGATGACCTAATTACAGTTTGCTTCAGGCAATTAGATTAAATCAAAGTTTAGAGTTAAAACAGAAGTTACATTTCAGTCATGCTGGCTTTGTAGATTGTTAGTTTATGTGTAAAGGAATTTAAACATTTCTATCTAAGGTATTTGTTTTACAATTTATTTCATATTTATTTATCAATCATTATGTTTTAATGTAGCGGTATCTAACTACAATCGTTAAACTTGATTATTTAGAATTTATTTAATATATTTATTATTTTTCGACATAACGTGTTGGTTTTATTTTCGTAGATTTGTTTAATGTATTGAACTGAAATCAGTAACCTTTCATTTCATTGTATACGGTTGTTACTACGTTACAGGCCTTTAATTGGAAATTGGAAATCAACTTACTGTTCATTTGGCTCGTACTTTGGCTGGTCTGTGGACTAATACAGCCACAGAAACGATGTAGAATGTAGAATTTCCTCCCATTAGTTTGTTTCCTTTGTCTCTTCCATTTACAACATGTCGAAAAATGAAACTCCCTTCCGTTAATATTAGTGAAATCATCACTTTCTTCTAAATATCTCATATCGTAAAAGTTTCCGCATTTACATATTCTGATATGCCTGACGACCTCTTTTCCATTAACTATACCAGAAGATCGCTTATATTTACAATGTTTGTCTGAATGTTGTTCCTTCTGACCAGTTGGTTGTGCTCCAACACCATCAACATAGTCCAGGTCTTCATCAGATTCACTTGAAATATTACCTCTTGGTTGATTCATTATTACTGATAAAAATCGTTGAAAATTACGAATCAATTAGAAAACACGGCTGTTGATCCTTTTTATAGGCCGAACTTCTTTGAACTGTAGGGGTTTTTCTATTTGTTACTATTTTTAGCAATCTCTCACGCTCACTGGGATTACAGAGATATGTTGCTTATACACAATTGTTTTTCAAAAAGCCGTAGCGTGAGCCTCGTTTTGAATCGTATCTATATCATAGTAATCGACAGCTTATTTTGCATTTTTTCTCTTTCGTAAGATAAAGGATGGGTCTCAAATTTGCTGAATTGTTGGAAAAAAACAACAACAAGGAAACACGTTGAATATTATTTTCTTATATATTTTATTTGTTAACACATTTAAGAAATTTACAGCGAATTTTGGAAACAAAACACTTCAGACGTTTTGGTATATTAACAACACACACTCAAGTTAAAAACTTTTAGTATTGATTATTAGGTTACACTTTATCACAGGAAGCAAGTCAATTATTATAAAGCTGAATACAACTTTCATTTATAACTATAATACACACTTTATAAGTTCAATGAATCACGAGCAACAATGATAGTTCTGTAAATGTATTCAGGTGGAAATGTTTGTAGATGTTGATTTTAACATACTATTTTATAACGTCAGTTTGAAGGTGTAACCACTGAAAAGAAGAAAAATATATCGTTACATTGTAATGACAAGCGCCTGTGTTAATACAACTTTATTTCATTATACTCTTATCTTATATTTTCCTCTCAATACAAAATGCGAATGAACTAAGCTAGAACAAAAGAAGCATTATTACTAAATAGATTTAGTATTGCAGACTACATCACCTACATTCATGCCATTATTGATTAATCTCTTGTAGACAATTTAGCTGGACGTCCATATTGATTTCCTATTGCACAGCTCGTTTTTATAGATATGAATGATATTATTGCATTCTTAAAGTCATGGCATGAACTTGTTTTGATATTTTACTGGAATACAAAAAACTGTAAGTTTTTGTTATATCTGATTGATTTTGTTTACATTGACTGTTTAATTTGCAGTATACTTACTGTTCATTGCATGCGATGCATCGCTTTTTGTTTGAGTATTACATCCACTGCAGTACTGTTTAAGAATGTACACAGTTTTGCCGCATTGTTGTGATGAAAATCTGTGCCATTTGCATGCTTGATCAAAATGGATGTCCTTCCCGTCCATGGCTATAAAATCCATTTTTTCTTGCGCCAGGTAACTTTTGTCAACGTAATCACTGGAACAATTGCAAAATCTTACATGAATTATTACTTCTATACCCTCTTCGGTTGTGTCAACGTACCTGTCATATTTGCAGGATTCCAATGTATGTGTTTCTGTAATGCCTGTTGGAGAGGCGTTACTATTTCCAGAAGCACCTGGGTTCTCTTCGTCTGAACTTGAATTGCTGATTACAATGTTTGACATTTTTGCTCTGTACAATAGCTCGTCATAGTATGAAAGAAATGATCGCATAAGGAGTAATGGCGTATGGAATTAACATAATTGTTCAAAAGAAATGCTTGTTTTCATTGGTTAGGTTTTCAATAAACAACGCCTTCACCTTCATGACAAGGTCGCAATGACGTCATGTATTTATAGCAAGTAAGCAAAAGTACAATTAAGTTCGTGAATGAGTGAGAAGTGCTATCATTGCATGATTCTGTTGCAAAATTAGAAAAAAACAACATTAGAGGGTTCTTTGTTTATTTCTTCACACAATTTGCGATGTAAGATTTCGAAACCTTATACAATGCATGGGGATTCCATTGCTTTCGAACAATAACACGAATTTTACATATTTGTATAGCTATTGTCATGTACTCAGTAACAAGAAATACTTATTACGATTGGGAAACCATTGAATTCTACCGTCTAAAAATCAATTTTGTCGACGATTCATTTTGACCATGTTACAATGTTCATGTATCTTGGTTTTCTCTTTATACACAAGTATTTCATAACAATTTCACATTTTCAGAAAATACTATTCCAGTGACGATAAGGGTATAAATAGACGTTACTTCACCTAGCATTAGTAATTTGTGTATCGATATTACTCATACTTCATCAGCAGATTTCGTAAAAATAGAACGTTATAATTGTGCAAACACACAAGGTCATTCACCGACATCAGACATTTGCTACTTGTTTAAAGCGTTGCAAGAAAATAGGCCATTGGAAATAACCAAAATCTTTCCAACGTAAAGTTTAATCATTGCCATAAATACTTAAACCTTGAACGACATTCCAGACTTGCCACGTGTTCATTCATGTCTTTATAGCAACATGTGCATTGTATTCACATGGTTTTCCAAATTACGACATTGCGCAAGTGGAAATTTTATCTAAATTTCCAGAGCAAATTGTTTATGTGTTGTTGATATATTGATTTGATTATAGAAAAAGTGTTGTTTGATTGGATAGTTGCTTTAGGTAGGTCAAGACTTGAAAATCTATTTAAAGGTTTTGAGGTTTTTGTTGACTATCGATTTACCTACTTGAATTTTAATACTACTAGTACATTAGTTTCAACATGTTTTGCTGGATCACGAGTGTCGAAATTCCTAGATTAAGTTTATCTCTTTATCATAAGTTTTTCAATAGTTGTTCATTCGGGTGAAAACTTGTCTGCTTTGTTATAGCTTTGCGTGAGGCATGTCTTAGTATAGAATTTTTCACGGGTAAACTTTAAATTATTTTTTTACTTTGCATGTCATGCAACAAGAATTTACATGAATAATTCAACTGATAAAATATCTGTCTTTATAAATAGATTGTATTATTGACACCATTTAGGTTAGTCGGCCGCATGATGAAATACGGTGAAAAGCTCTTGGCATTTAGCCAAACACGTAACGAAAACAAAACTGAAAAAAACAATTGAACTTAAACAGTTTTAAGAACATTAAAAACATAAAATCGTCCCGAAAAATAAAATAATTAACTATAAAACGACATTTTCACTTTGATTATTTATAAAATTAAAAATGTATTTATTCCAAAATCAAGCACAACCTATCAAAGTTCTTAAACAGTCAAGCAATTTTTACTTCAGCGTATTATTAAAATTGTTAGTTAAATTATATGTTGAACTTAGTTTGCATCTGTTTTCAGATGACTGTCAAAGACACTGCCTGTTCAGACCCCTCGAATCAATCAATGGCGAAACGACAGAAAGTCGCAGCAGATGAGGACAAACAGATATCAGATGAAATGATTGGTGCAATATCTGTTGCCATGGATTCAAAAGCAGACATGAACATAGTGGAGTTCAGTTACAATATCTCTGGTATATATCATATTGCGATCAAACATACTTTGATAATATATCTTTGAGATATACTTGCACATATTTACATGTATTTTAGAACTAAAAAGATGCGTATTTGTACACTTTGATGCATATTGTTTATTTATTTATTAAGTACAATTTAAAAATATTGTGCTTTTAAAATACACATTGATGTTTGAAGCATTTCACAGTTTCTGATATAGTAAGTGTTTTACATTAAATAGGAATTTTATAACAAGTAAATATCTTCAATGTAGATACATTCTGACTATTAAGTACATGAATAACGCCAATTCTCTCTTCATATCTTTGTAGACACAGAACTCGCGCCCGGTGATCCTATATCTGATTCTGAGCTTCCTCCTAGAATTAAAAAGGACAAAAAGAAAAAGAAAAAGCACAGCAAAGAAAAGTCAAAGGCGGTTACAGCAGACGACACCAATACTCAAGGCACAGACGAAAAGAAAGACACAGTGCAAATAAAAAACTAAAAATATATAAAACTATATTATATATAATGCTGAACTGAACTTTGATCTCAATCACCATTCATCATAAATACATTATTTTGTTTTGAATACATATTACACTTTATGCATTTGTAATACATAACGTCTTTATTTTGTTCTTTCTTGATTAAAGGGAAGTAACTTATTTGTAAAAAGATATTGCATTTACTTATGTTGATAATTTGGTGTTCTCATTTAGAAATGGCTTACTCTAACATGGAAAATTACAATTTTGTTAATATTTTCCATACAGGGAAGCTATTATCTAATGATAATACAGAGGTTATCGTCATTATGATTACATTAATGCTGACAATGTTAAATGATGAACATGTGTGTTTGTTATTTTTATATATTTTTGCTTAGACATTGTATCATGTGATAGAATGTGTCGTATATTTTTCATAATTAGTTTAATATTTTTCATAATGACCATTTTCATGCTTAATATATTCATGCTATATATCTTATTGTAACAAAAATGTTTCTAAAAACATGATTATTGCTAAATTAAGAAAATGTCTTAATATATTGCATATTTACTGATTAAGGGGAGGTAACACTTATACTTGACAATGTTGTTGCCTATAATTTAATATTTTCACAAACAAATACATAGGAATAGAAAAGAACTTTAAATTTTAAGTGAACAAATACATAGGAACAACTTAGAAAATAAATTCAAACTTTAAGTGAAGAATATGCAATTGAAATGAAAGATATATGTATTATCTGTTAGTGTAATACGTTGTATTAATAGTTTTTGCGTTATTGTTTTTCATTTAAATTATAATTTAATACAATTGTTGCCATTTTTTGTAAGAATTTTTTATAATGGGACAGTTTCAGATGTTTAATGAATTAAATGCTAATTTGCACATTTTTCTTTTTTCTAGAAAAAAAAATAAGAATAATGTTTTATAAAAATGTATGCCAGGAAAAGACACAATAATAACCAACAAAAACAAAAGACAACATCCCACACAAAACAACAACAACAACAAAATGTATATACAATAATCAAATTGTTATTTTTACCAAACAAGAATAGACTACGGTTTATATAACATACGTTTGTAAAATGATTTGTTTCTGTATCATTTTGAAAATTCCGTGTTGCATAAAATATTATTATTTCATTATATTATAAGTAAGTAATAATTAAATAATAAATAGTAAACAGTATGTTAAATGGAGTTTGTTATATGTAAACTAAAGAATATTAGTAATTACACGCTTTACATGGTAACAGACTGGTATTGATATCTATGAATCACGTATAACTCTAGACGGCGTATCGATATAGTTTGACTGCGATACTGTTTAGCTATTAGGGCCTGTATATTACATACCTTCCATCGAGTGTGACAGTTCTTGAAGAGTACGTTTCTTTTAAACAATTAAAATTACATTTGGTAGCAAAGAAACACATCTTCTTTGTGATGTGTTTTTAAATACTTTGATTGTGCGCATAAGTAATATAAACGAGTCCGAAAATAACACAAACTGCACGTTTTGTAGTGGAAATGAATTACTATTTTAAATTATTATTGTTATAATAAAGATAGAAATTAAGATAAGATTTTACACGCATTATAAAACTTATGTTGTATACGAAATTAGATTTGTAATATAACAAGACTCTAAATAGCGTGTTGACTTGTTAAAGGGAGACAATTCAGAAAAAAATCAAAATATGTAAATATTTACTTTAAGGTACATTCGGTTATTGACTTTTATTTGTAACGAACTCTTTATTGCTTTATTTAAACAAGTGTGTTAAATTCTTACATATGTTAAACATAACTGTATTATTAAACTTAATTGATTAAAGTTAATTTTGCTTACGGAAGTAAATGTTTAATAAAAGATAAAATATGCAACCCAAACTCAATGCCGATCTAATTGCTTTTGGTAGCTTTAAACAACAACAATACATGATCTAAATTTTTTAATAATGTTATGCATATAATTTTGTTTTATCTTTTAAATCTGATTTTATAATTAGTTAATAATTAAAATTAATTAAATATGATTTTATTACGAATAAGTGTCATGAAAACCAAATCGTTGAAATAACAACGTTGTTACTTTGAATTCAAATTCCTAACTTGTGTGAATAACGGCAACACTGTATAAACTAGATTCTAGTTTGGTATATTATTACCTATTTCTGACGCTTAAAGTTCATCAATTAAGATTTGTTCTCTAACAGGGTTTTAGATTTTGTTTACAATTGAAGGGAGACAATTACAACACATTATTCTTACAAGTGCATATGCAACGCTAGTTCAGTATAAAGGATGTTATTTGTTAAGTAAAACAATATCGTGATTTTAAACATATTTCGAAAAGAAAAAGTTATATGGTGAATATAATTTACTTAAATATGATGGAAATACTATCAAATATGATGGTAAATTAATAATAATCAAGTTTGTAACAGAACAAACAATATATCTTTATGGTATAACCCGGGTTTATGTTAAATTCTTTGTTATTGCAAATTAAAAAATCACATTTAAGCGCTATATGTATACTTCTCTTAATTTTTACTGTGTATTTTATTTTTCAATAAAGGAAAATGTTTTTCTTTTATTCTAATCAATATCAAAATGTATTAATAAACACGTTGTTATTTAATTAAAGAAATAAAGTGGATAGTTTAAATATGTTTATCCATCGTTTTAATCAAATAATTGATATGTTGGCAGTTATAATTGATAAATGAAGGTGTTTCTATTGAATATATATATAGGGAAAATGTGTACTATTTACCTTTAATGACATGCATTAATATTTATATACAAATCAACACGCTTATGGGTTTCATATTAAATCATATAGAAAACCCTAATTGTAATGTTGTTACCATAAAACAATGTCTGTTTAAGGGAAATCTGGATACTAAATGGAGGCAAAACTGTGTATAAATTATTAAATATGTTTATAAAACAAAATGTTTTACTGATAAAGTTTGATATTTTGTTAAATATAAAATTATTTTATGGCGTTTATATATATATTAATTACATGTTATATAACAGAAACTCTTTCACATTTTAAACCATTACAAAATAGTTTAAATAACTTTTCATGCTCCATTTTGAATCATTATTTATAAGCAACTATTATTAACTTATTGATATCATTTCTAGATTATGTATAGAAGTGATGTTACTACATGTATAAGTATGTTTTGTTTAATAAGATAAACATCATGAAGTTCAACGTATATTTGTTACTTATATCCATTTTCTTTAAACAACATTTGTCTTAGAAATTATAAATAATATGTGCTTGTTAAATTAAAAAACAAGAAATAAAACGTTTGATATGACGTGAGAACTTGTTTTTATATATTATATACATGAAATTAAGTTTATGATGAAGGGAATAAAGATGAAATAATATCTAACATGAAAAAGGAGCGAGATAAATGTATGGTTATTTCTTTACGGTTTTACTGAAGACTGAGAGACTTACTGTATACGACTGTTAATTTTTTCTCCCTTTAATTTTTTTTACACACAATAATATACCTTCATATTAAAACAAACAAAAATTCGGCAGTGATCGCTTAAGTTCGAACTTGAAGCAAAATCTTTTCACACCTATCCAGGGCTTCATTGAAGCATCAAATCGTTTCGATTCATAATTCCGGATTTTCAACATCTTATTTCATGGCAACTATGTGGCACAACTATTTGTATTACACTCTTCTACACTTTTTTTATTTAAAACAAAATTAATCAAATTTCGAAACCAAATAATACCATATGTGTTAATTAAGACGAAAATGGAAAGTTAAAACACGCACTGATCATATAAAAGGAAATAATAAAGACGGAACTCCACCATGGAAATGAATTGATATAAGTGTCATGCTTCTTTTTCAATCCATAAATATCATGATGTTAAATGATACATGTTTGAAAATTTGCTAAATTAATTATATTAAAAATTAGCGGAGATTGTTGTTAGAATTATTGCCGTAAATATATGGCTAATCAAATCAAATTTAAGGAAGTTAAAAAAGTCACATAAAAAGATCAGATTGATGCAGGGGAGGTAACAACATAATGATGCTCATTTATTTAAGCAATCTCGTATTTATAATTCAGGGCCATAAATTGTATGTAGCATTTGGTAACTAAGATACAGAAAATTAGAGATTATAAAATAAATAATAAATATGATTAGGTGATTTTCCGTAAATGAGTCGCTAGAATACTGAATATTATCCGATACCTGCGTAAAAATAAACCGTTATGTGAGTATCTCCTTTAAAGAATTTCACGGAAAAAGGGAGACAACCAAACTTTTGTTGGTGATACAATGGTTTTTCAGGATATTTTTAATGTTTATATTTGATATTATTTTATTAATCTAATAAAGTATTACTTATTATATAATATATCATAAGTATCATTGTGATATCAATAATTAAGGTTTGTACAATTACAAACCACCATATATAAAAGCAAAAATAAAATGACTTAATTTTTTTAATGGTTATACTTAAAGATATATATTCAATATCAGCATTATGTCAATATCGTCACTGTAGTTATCAATATAAACAAACCATGCCTTGTTTCGCTAAGTCGTGTGACAAAAAAATATATCGTGCATTATTTATGACGAGTTAACAAATTTTGATATCAACAGAAAAAAGTAACAAAATATCAACTAGTTCAACAATTGTTTTCATGTCGTTATACTATAGAATTGGTCCAAATTTTTATTTTAATTTTTCTCTTTAAAACAAATATGATTTCAAAATTTAATTTGCCTTTTATTAATCCCTCAGTAGCAGAGCTAGAATCGTCTGATTACTTCGCTATGATGTGTTTCTATTGACCATGCATTTGATTATGGTTAGCATGGAACATTGTTATTGTTTTTATATACAAACGGAATAGATAAATGTGTTTCCAGTGTGGCTATTTGAGGAATCTATAATAGTTGTATTCTTTCCTTCATTCTGTATTACTTTGGACTTCTGAAATGAAAAACATATAGACTGTCAAAAAAGTACTGAACAAATTTAGAAGCTTACATATTACTGTTTAGCTAATATCAATATTTGAAAATGAATGTTCTATTTTATTTTACTACGTAATTTGGAATGTGCTAAATATCACATCAAATGGAAGTCAATAGTGAGGAGAACATCTATTTGATTATTTCAATAAAGTGTTTTTTGTTTCAAATTATTGCAATCATATTTGCAAAAATATACAAACTATTAATTGATGCACTTGTTTGATGTGTGCATTGTTGCTCTTTCCTCTTACAATTACAACTAGCAGTAAGGATATATTTCGCCCCTCCTTTCATGGGACTTTGCACCCACTCACACGTCGAAGAGAAATGAATTTCTTTCCCGTCGCATTCTCCTAAGTCTAGCTCCTTTTCTTCTAATAATTCCGATCTATCTTCAAAAGCTTGCTTACATTTACAGACTCGTTTTAGCATGTAAACATCAACATCATAAACTATGTCATGTCGCAGTTCATATTTACATAGAGAGTTGAGATGTTCTTCTTTCTTAACATTTGAAGTGTCGTTGCTCTTTACATTTGACGCAGTTTCATCGTCGGAACCGGAGATGGAGCTATCACCGTCAGGTTTATTTACCGTAGCTGACATTTCCTTTTCAAATAAGTGTATTCAAGGCTTTATTCGTTACGTATCCAACGAATAATTCAAATTGTGTGTATTTCGCATTAAAATCCAATAAGACTGGCTGTACGATTCAGCATAATATCATATTATGCTTTGTTTGTTTGACCATAATGCAGTGCTACCAGTCACGTGATTTGCTTGACGTTTAACAGACGGAAAAACCGGATATTACGGGTACCTGTTCCTCAAATGACATGGGATTTGTTACAGTTAAGTGTTAAGCATTGATGAGATTATTTTAATGCTAAGCTGAATCAGCACATGTCATAAGGAGCATTGAATATTCTGTAAATATCTTCAAATAAAAAAATATTTAAATACTAATGTAATCAAACTATATAGTGAGTGTTACAGTAGCAAATTAAAACAAGGTTCCTCGGATGTAATATTCTGAAATAAATATGAATAATTTCGTTTGAATATTTGATCAAAGACTTTTAAAGCTATACTATAACTCATGTTTGTTTATCAATAAAGACATTATAGCGGGAGACAACATTTTATATGCGCTTCAGTATTATTACTGTCTGTCACTATCATCAGCCATTAATGCAAATATTGGTCGATGTCATGTACACTTAACTCTCCTGTCCGCTATATTGATTTTCTGTACTACAAGATAGTAAAAAGCACGATTTTATGGAAACTATCTCTCAGATATTTTATGATCAGTTCCATTGTTTTGACATATTACTGGAATAAAGAATAACTGTAAGTTTTTATTTCTAAAATTTGTATGTTGATAAATCTAATAAATATATGTTTGGATTGTGTACACTAAATATTACAATCTTTTTTTATCATCGTTTTACAATAACTTTAAATTTCTAAAAAAAAATAACCCTAAGAATTCATTTATTTATAAGACAAATGCACAGACTGCATGTTCTAACGGTGTTTACATTGCTAGAGGTATTTTATAATTGTGATTATTACGTAAGTAGTTGTTTATATGATTCAGCTAATGAATCAGCTTCCAAATTTATAATGTATTTAAGCGTTATCCATATCTAAGTTTAATTTGACAGTTCATAGCAACATATCGCATGAACATGTTTAAATATGTCCGTTAAATATGTTTATACAGGCTCGCCGTGTCGTGTCGGAATTTCATTAGCGTATTCCTTGATAAACCAATAACCTAAAACTCCGTATTCGTCTTTAATTTTGTTCTGGCTTGACTCCAAGTTTAAAACCTTATAGCAATTATATGACCTTGGCACCACATATTATTCGGCTATATAGATATTTAATCGCTATTGTTAAGTCACTACGTACAGGAGTGAAGAATTGTTTATTTAATTGTGTTGAAACCAACAAGATTAAAGATTTGTGTCAAATATATGAAATAAGAAAAAAACAATAGAACACAATGACTTTTATTTTCTGTTTTAATTTGATACTACTCTACGAAGCATTATTGAAATTAAAAAAAAACATATGGGAAAGCTCAAAGCTTTAAGAAGATAAAACATTTAAATTAGATTCTGTATATAATAGTTTATATTAACAAAGACATTTTACATGCCACCAAATGACACCAGTCAAATATAATCAGGCTATTTATCAAAATGTGCTATTAAACTGAACAGATATATTGTAAATTTAAACAATTCAATAAATCGAAAATCAGCAGCAATGATTGATCTTTAAATGTCTTTACAGCAAAATGTTTCGAGATGTCAATGTAAATATACGGGTTTATAACTGCAGTTACTGTATTCAGTTAGTAGGTGAAATCACTGAAGAAAATAAATATATGAACACTTATTGTAATAAATTTCGTTACTTGATACAAATTAAAGGAAATGTTACTTTCCACTATTTCTAATATAAGTGCACCTATACAGAATGATAACGTTGTCCAGTGAAACGCACATTAACCTCATTCGTTAATTGATTTAAGTATCTTAGATCGTCCACGGCATCCTCCATTACCAGTATTGATTAATCGATTTTGTATAGACATTTCTCTTGGACGCCTTATTGTTTTTCGGATGGCTATGTCTACCGTGAGATTTTCCAAAAGTAATTTATGTCGAAAATGTCTTAAAGATATTGAATAATAAGTGTAACGGATTTGACTTTTTTTTTATAGTTTTCAAGAATATAACGACTGTGAGTGCGTGTTAATCTTTTAACACTTGATAACATTGTTTGAGGAATTACGTTTCAAAACAATACAGACTTTAAATTGCATTAAAATAATCATTTTTGTTTGCGTATAGTATTTCTTGACAATGTATCATATTTGGCCGCATTGTTTTAATAGACATATATGCTTGCGCCATTTGCACATCGGATTAAAATTAATTTCCATCTATTTCTAACTATCGTGGAATGATCCAATTTATCCTAAAGCTTATATCTGCTAGCGTAGTAACTTGGACAATATCAAACACTTTATTGATCTCCGTTTTCGTGTTTTGATTTGTATCTCTGATATTTGCTTAATCGCCATAAGAAAATTACAATAAAATATAGATTTTGATTGAAAATTTTTGTAGTCTTGAAATAACTTTTATGACCTTTTGGTATTTGTTATATTGGATTCACTTTTGCTGAATTCTAGTGCTACATGAATATGTTAGTGTTGGATTACAAGTGTGTTTCAATATGTAGCTTACAATTTTATCATAGTTCAATTCAATGACTAATTTTTCGGGTGGAACCTTGTTTCCTTGGGCTTGACATGCGTGTGGCAAACATGTGTTAGTGTGGACTATGCCTCCATTGTTGTCAGATCTTAACTTAAAAAAAAATATTGTATTTTTATATCATGTTACAAAATATTACTTGAATAATGTTATGATAGTTGAGAAACGAAACAGGATCGGTGTTCTTGACACCGTTTAGATTAGTCAAACGCATGACTAAAATATGGTGATAAGCATTTAGCATTCAGACAAATTTGGGACAAAAAAAGCTGTTTCATCTGATCCACATAAAAAGAATGGAAGCATGAAACATCATCTTTACTTCGATACATTAATAAAAAGGAACTGTGCATAACAAAAGCATGAATGTGCTATCTAAGTTGTTTCACGAATAATTTAAATGTAACTTATTTATACAAATGGTTATATGTTGAACATACTATTTCAGATGACTGTCAAAGACACTACATGTTCACATCCTACTAATCAATCAATTGCGAAAGGACAGAAATTTGCTGCAGACGAGACTCAACAAATCTCAGATGGAATGATTGGTGCAATATTGGTTGCTATGGATACAAAAGCAGACATGAACATAGTGGAGTTCAGTTACGATATATCTGGTATTGATTCAGCTAAAACATACATGCATTTATTCCTTCAATTTAAGAAGATATACTTGCATATGTTTCAATATAATCATAAGCTTAAACGAATATTAGTTATATGCAATGTTACGATACTAATCTAATTTCATTTTTAAAACATTTAGTACTATTTTAATAAACATAATTGATTAAGATATTTACTGTTATTGTTTTTTAAATAGTGTCATAGAGCTTATTGTTTATTTAATTCAAATTGTTCTAAATATATGAGCCGCGCCAGGACCAGCATGGATCCAGACCAGCCTGCGTATCTGCGCAGTCTGATCAGGATCCATGCTGTTCGCTTACAGACCCTATAACAAGTAAAGAAACTGATAGCGAACAGCATGGATCCTGATCAGACTGCGCTGATGCGCAGGCTGGTCTGGACCATGCTGGTGGCAAACCCATACTGTTGGTTTTGTCGTGACGAAGCTCATATTTTCTTGCAGACATAGAACTTGCACCCGGAGATCCTATACCCAATTCTGACCTTCCTACTAGAATCAAAAAGAACAAAAAGATAAAGAAAAGAAGGAAAAAACAAGACAATGACGATAACAATAGACAATATATTTTCTCAATGCACAGACGAGTAAAAAGGACTCACTCTACTGCAGTGCTAAAAGTTGAATGATATATGAACAACTATATTATTATGTAGTGCTGAACTAAACTTTGATCTCAATCATCATTCATTCTAGATACGTTATTTTGTTTGAAATAGAGATATAAGTATGTACATCTTTGAAACATGAAGTCGATATTTTAGTTTGTTCTTAATTAAAGGGAAGTAACTTGATTTTTATAAAATAATACAATTCCTAATATTAATTATTAAATGTTCTTATAGGATCACGCCTAACTTATACATGAAAATGAACATCTTTTTTCTATAAAATATATCTATTATATTGGTATTTAACATAAAAATGAATAAATGCTGACAATGTTAAATAATGTACATACGAGATCGTAATTTTGTGTATTTTGACATGATTTCGATTTATAAAATGTGTCATATATGTATTTATACATTTTTTCATAATAATGCATTTTTACGAGTATAATATTGCACTAAAATATATTTATATATTGATGAATTGTAATAAAAATGATGTTTCAAAACGCATGGTATATGTAGCATAAAGAACATTCCGTCTTTCCTAGTTGATCTTGTTTGTCATATTTTACCATAGAGTATAATTTCTAACTAAGGGGAGGGAAGCAAGTTGACAATGTAAAAACCTTAAATTGAATTTGCCATTTATAATTTAAATTGCAGTTAGAAATAAGATTCGATATTTTATTATTTTTGTACAAAACTATCAGAGTTTTATTCAATTATGTAAATGCTAATGTGTACAGTTCATTTTTTTTTCAAGTAGAAAGTACGGCTAGAATAATGTTTTAATTATTTTATGTTATGTTTTCTTGTATTTACATAAGAAACGATAAATGCAAAACAATATTGATTTATACAAAAAAGTGGCTACACAAAATAAATGTACGGTTTTATTTTTACTTTGTTACCAAATGAGAATAGAAAATGTTTGTATTATGAATCTTTTATATATGAAAATGTCCTGTTGCATAAAATTATATAAATAATGTATAAGTGATATGACTTCGTTATTTCATAAAGTATATGCAGTTATACATTTTGAGGCATGCTGAATGTAGTAATATCTGAACGCAAGATTGATATTGGTAATTACACAACAAAGCGATATTGATATCTATTACTGACGTAAAGCTCTTTACAGCTCTTTACAGCGTATCGATAGAGTGTTGATACAAAATTTCAAAAGTATTGCGGCCTATAAAGTACATATCTGCCATCGAGTGAAACAGTTCTTGAAGAGGACGTTTGTCAAAATCAATTAAACATATATTCTGTAGCCAAGAAACATATCTATGATTTTTATACTTCGATTTTGCGCATGTTGAATATGAACGAGGCCACAAATGTCCAAACCTTAAGCGGTAATATATTAGGAACTTTATTTGTTTTTTTGTTATAATCAAGGAAGAAAAATAGAATTGACAACCATTGTATTATTCATGTTGTATGAAGAAATCAGATTTGTTAAGAATCAAAATTCATAAACTAAATATGTAGATAAAGGGAGACAATTCGGAAATAATGTTTAATATACATAAACTTATAATTACTATACAATCGGCGATGGACTATAATTTATAACATTACATTTTTGATTCACTATTTGTTTGCCCATGTGATGTATTAAACATTTTTTTGTATATAACATTGTTAACTATTTACAAGTTATTTTTTCTGAATAAGATCTGTAGAGTAAAGTTAATACAATGAAAGCTAAGAGAAACTATCGGAATTAAGCTTTTTAGAATCACATCAAATATATTGAAATTTTTAATGATGTAAAGTATGCGACTAAACCACTTCTATTAAGATACATAATATAAAATAATTTTGATAATTATTAGTTCCATTGAAGATTTGATCATAAGACAATGATGGATTTATCAATTATGTTAAAAAAATATAACCAATGTTAGTGTGAACGATACACCATTCATCTTATAAATTAATGATAAATATAGAAAATATTACAATTATTCTAGTTCAGTTTGTTCCATGTATGTTATTGCTTAATATGGGAGCTAATTCAAGAATATCTAATTCATTAAAATATCATCTGCTTTACGTCAGGTTTCCGATTTTTTACAGCGATATGGAGATAATTCAATAAATACATTCTTCATATCACTGCATAATGCACTTCCATGTTGCTATTTCTTTTGGTATATTCAAATAATTTATAAAACTAAGTTTAACAAAATCATGAGTTTTAACATGTTTGAACAGATCTTAAAAAGGTCTATAGGATAAATTTTATTCTACTTTATTATGATAATTTATTGGTCTTTAAGATATAATCTGCTCAAATATCATATTTGAAAATATTTTTTTGATTGCTACACAGTCTCTGTAAAATCTTTTAAAGGGAAAGACAAGGTTAGAATAAAAACTTGATTTCAGAAAAAGAATACTATAAATTATAAATCTGCAAATTTTCTGCCGCCAAATAATAATATTAAACGAATGATAACAAAATTTAAATCGCTAAATCATCGATTTCTACAAATCAGTAAGCGCGGCCATGTTTGTGTATTGGTCGTATAAAAACAGGTGCGCGTGATGTCATTTCCCCACATCTTTAGATTGATGATAAATCTAGTTGAATCGTAAGGAAATATTAATATAATAAAGTATTGACCAGGCAATTTAATTTTCACAGGAGGTGAAGAGGATATTTTTTATGGTTCAAAATACGTTACAAAATCAAAACAAAACAAAAATAATAATAAATTAAGAAACGTACGGCTAGCCAAAAGTTCTAGCCGTACGTGAGTCACGAACGACTAGCCAGGACGCACTGTATTGTCTAGCCGTACGGCACTTTTAAAAATTATATAGAAGTCGAACGTTCAAATTAAAATTGTTGATTTTCATGCTTATCATTTGTTGTTTTATTTGTATGAATAATTAAATCATTTTTGTTAATTTTAAGCACATGGATCGAATAAAAAATGATCGGAGTGGAATAAATAAATAAAAAGAACATTGAATGAAAAAAAAAACGGTGAAATGATTATGCAAAAATAATTATATAATTTTCAAAACAGTAGATAAATATCGAACATAAAAGTACAGTCAATCAATTAATTAGCCATAATTAAAACCTATCCAGGGACTGACAATAGAATTATAGAATGCCTTTCACGGAACATGCAAACTTTCCTTGATGGACAAACTTCTATACAGTACCGTCGGTAATTGTCGCAATTATCAGGAGCCTAACATCATTCATTTTCAGTGTTTGTTGGGTTTTTTTTCATATTAAAGGTGTCGAAAATTAAACTTAATAAAACAAAAAGGATTAATATCAAAATTTTGTAAACTATTTCAATTGGTGTAAATGCAAGCAAAGGCTATTTTTTCTAGACCTCGTGTGATGAAAATTTAAAGATCGATAAATATATAGCAATCAAGGAGATTAATCTCTAAAAAGTTAACATCCGAAGACAATTAATGCTGTTTCTTGGTTAAAATCCTCGCTTAAAGTCATAAAATAACATATGCATTTTCGACTACCATAAAATTTTGAAAAGTGCCATACGGCTAGCCAATACAGTGTGTCCTTGCTAGTCGTACGTGACTCACGTACGGCTAAAACTTTGGCTAGCCGTACAGGCCCGTACGCTAGCCACTTCCATTATAAAAAACCCACTAAAACGTGTTCTTTAAAATAGTACATATAATTAAATTTTTGCAGTTTGATTCTGACTTTTAAATTTAAAGGTGTGAACATATGTTATAATTGATGTACGCATTTCAAAAATATAATTAAGCAACTCTTTTGAAAAGTAAATTGTTAACATATCTGTCAACGTATGATGCGTAGCCTAATATTCATTTTTATTGGCTGCTCAAAAATCTAATTTGCATAATTTATTCACACAATTGCTGGTTCTTACTACTTATGTCTAATACTGCGCATTGTCCATTTTAATTGTTCCTATTTTGCACCAAATGTTCCTGTCACACTGTGTACTGACGATTTTTATTGCTCCTTGTATGCCTCTGTGCCGACAGACCTTTTGATCATGCACATTGTTGCCCTGATTGGTTAATCACCCTTGTCAAATATTCTAATGACGAAATAGACATCTGTTTTTTTACGCTTCATGACCTTAGGGGGAATTAGGTTCCACAACTGTCAAATTATACTGTAGTAAATTACAGCACGCCATAAAATAGCAACACATTTTTTTTCAGTTACCAATAATCATTTTAAATGTTAAGTAGATTTATGATTTTTTGTTTTATTGGATTAAATTTACGGTAGTAGAAATGCGTATCTGTCGGGGACAGGAATTTGGTAAGTAGATAACATGGAAAAAAGCTTTAGGGAACTGGATAAACCCGAGGATATGCGTAACTATAGGGGAATGGGCAACCTGTTGCTGCTGGTACCAGTTTTGACTGGGTGCCTAAATTACCTTGTTTTCATACGATATTAATCTGGCTGCCGATTTTCCTGTGCCATTCTCATTTTTAGCGTCAATGGCGGAAAATCGCGTCCTCAGCATATTGGATTTAGTTGATATTTTACCTGAAAAAAAGATACATGACCGACGATGTTTACCCTATTTGGACAGCTTGTCTAGCGAAAATTAAGTTCAAATAAAAGTATATATCGTCAATTTGAAGAAGTTTCTCATAGTTCCCAAATTAAATTTATGGTTTATCTTTGAAAATTAAGCAGTCATCGCTTTAATCATGTGGTGGGATTATCAGCAAGCTTGAATATCGGACAAATGATAATAAATGTTGCGGCGTCTTCAATTAATTAATTAAAGCAATTCAGTTCCATATGATGTTTTCATAAATTATATATAATGTACGCAATAAAATCAATAAGTTCTTCATCAAGATATATTTCAGTTGTACCAGCGTGTACACCTATACCGGAAGTGGGTGTAACACGTCACAATCTCGGTCTCGTCTGTCTCGCGAGAATGACAGAACGAAAAAATGGCGGCGCCCATGAACTTATTTCTCAAGTAAAAAATAGTGTCTTAAAACACGAATTTCTCTCTTATAGGTTTGATGTCAATAGGAAAACTGTCATGGTTCCTCTTTTTAAAAGATGAATATTTATATTAGACAGACATCAATCCATCCATTCCTATTCCTTTAATATAAAATAAAAATATTTTAATTTCACACAAAGAAGATATGTTGTGTTTAAAATTATACACACTATAGGTGGTTACAATATGAATATATAGTGTTAGTAATATAACTTGCAGTTTTTTTTTATTAAAAGACCAACTTTTACTTGTCCTGTAATAGGAAACAAAGATTCCAATACATGATTTATTTATTCTTTTATTCAAATTTGATATGTTCGGTAAGAATAACATAGCTTTCAATAAATTTATGTGATAAGAATATTTTACGCAAGGACGGGCATAGTATATCTATAAAGTTTGTATAAGAACAGTCGTGATCTAGGTGCTTTGATGTTCAGACGAGAAATGAGCCGTGTCACGACATAACCAACATAATGAGTTTGCGACCAGCATGGATCCAGACCAGCCTGCGCATCCGCGCAGTTTAATCAGGATCCATGCTGTTCGCTATCAGTTTCTCTATTTGTAATAGAGTTGGTAAGCGAACAGCATGGATCCTGATCAGACTGCGCGGATGCGCTGGCTGGTATGGATCCATGCTGGTCGCAAACCCATTATGTTGGTTTTGTCGTGACGCGGCTCAAATCTTTGAATGTTTTTGTAGCTGTAAAGGTATCGAATTTCAAGCGTTCTGTGAAGCATAAAGTTATATTGGAAATTAAGGAATTTAAT